TTTAGTATCCTATCGGAGTAGGATTGCATATTCAACATCAAAACATATTTTTATCAGAATCAAAAATCCAATAGTAAGTCTCATGTCTAAGTACAGAAGAAACCACGAACTAAATCAGAACAGAAAAACAAATAAATAAAAATATAAAATTACTACATTAAAATAAACCCACAAAAAAAATGACAATAATTCAAACTACCCACTATAAGCTAATCTAGATGAACCTAAAAAGATCCAATATTTCATAATGTTATTGTCATAAACGCACCTTCTGTAGCTAAATCTTCAATACACAAAAATTAAAAACCCAACAAATGCAAAAATACACCGTAAGAAAAAGAGGGATCACAACAGATAAAACTCTGACTTGAAGCTGATAAATGAGGGTAGAGAAAGAAAGATAAGGAATATATGTGGGAGGTGAACGTCTCTATTTGTGGCCTGAAGATTTTGGATTCGCACAGAGACGCGACGGAATCAGGAATCGGAAGTCGGCTTCTTTGAAATGAGGATTTCCAATTTTCAGTTTTAACGTGGTAAATGATTTGATATATGGGTTAGGGTATAAATGAATTGGGTTGGACTTGTGGGTAATGGGCTCAATTTTTTAATTGGGTTTGTCCAAAAAAAACAAAAAACTAAAATTCTCCAATTAAATTTATTATTTTTAGCGGGTAATCGGTTCAGGGGCGGGACACCGTTGTTAAATACCATACCCACCCTACCACGAATCGGGTCATCAAAATCAAAACCATAACCACCCCATTGAACCATCAGTTCGGATTTTTTCCCCCTATTCGGTTCGGTTAACCGCGATTTTCGATTTTCACAGTTCGAATTGTCATCCCTAGGACTTCCAACTAAGTTATTTACCACAATAATTGCAACATTTTTTCCAAATATCAACTCCATTTTGAACTCCAACTTTTTTACGAGTCATATGTTGCCACAATCTGCACTCTTTTTTCGACATTTTAACATCGACTACTTCTTCCTCTTCGATATCTTCTAAATCAATTGGAACATTTTGAGATGCATCGTACCCCGATAGAGTACTCGAACTACCTTTAAACTGAATAATCTCATCACTAGTAAAATTCAT